GTCACCCGGTTACCGCTCCCATTATTTTCGTCTATTCCGTTTGGCGCAAATGGCTTTTCTCCTTGCGTACTGGGCTTAATGGTTCCAATTACGATCCCCTCCCATTCCCAATTGGTCTCCGGTTTAGTTTTTCAAGTTCTTCTGAGTCGACAATGGATGTCGATTGTAATTTTGTCAAATCTTCAGCAATGCCTCACAGCCATGGCACTGTAAGCAGCTTCCACTCCCTCAACCCCTGACATTGAAATCATCAAAGGTTCCTCACACAACCTGCTCGCTGAGCCATTGGTCTTCCGATTTTCAGGTATGTATTCTACTTTCAGTTTTATTTTTGTTATGTATTTTATTAAGTTTAGCTTTATGCCTTCTTACTTTCATCTGTTTTACTTAATCATCTTTTTTAATGTTTGTCGTGTCTCGTTCTCCATTATGTTCAAAACCCCAAAGTTCTTTCCTCCCAAAGACCCTTAAATGGAATTCTGGAGCTCTTTTGCAATTGGACATTCTCCATTACTATTAAGACCAAGGAAATCAATCTGCAGACCGCTATTGGGGAAATACGTCAGTGAAGATTACCTTGTGGTGTGTATAGAAAAGGCATTGCATTGTTTTTTTGTTTTTGGTTGGCATTAAGTGCATTTTAATGGACAGAATTTATGAAGAAGAAACTGTCAACCAAAGAAATTGAAGAGTTGATAAAGGGAGAAAGGAATGTGCCCCTAATTATCAATTTTTTTTGCCACATGGTGCGGCCCTTGTATACTTATGGCTCAGGAACTTGAAATGGTAAGAAGGGTTAGATTTGCTGTCTGCAAGTACAATGTCTAGATTGTTTTTGTTTCATCACATACATTAAAAGAATTTGGTAAGTGAAACATGGATAAAGTTCAAAAATATGACTAGGGAAGTGTATGCAAAAGATTAAAAAAGTGTTTTTCAGTTTTTTGCATCACTCCAGCAATCCAGCGCGACATCTTCACATAGCATCTTTAAACAGAATTTGTTACATTAAAGATCTAAATTTGAAGAGCATAGTAAAAATATATAAGAAAGTGCTTATATGATTGTAATAAAGTTAAAACAAATTAATGAAAAACTACTACTAACTCAATGAATAACTGCTTATATTCTCTTTTTCCGACGTTTCCTTTGGTTGGTAGTAGTTTTTCATTAATTTGTTTTAACTTTATTACAATCATATAAGCATTTTCTTATTATTTTTTACTATGCTTTTCAAATTTAAATCTTTAATTTAACAAATTCTGTTTAAAGATGCTATGTGAAGCTATTATGCTGGAATGATTTGTCACTTACTTACTTGTAAACTTTTATATATTAGGTGTTCTATGTGTTTCAACTTTTATATGTGAGATTTTATGGCTTTCAACTTTATATGTCTAACATGAAAAACCATCTCCAAATGAGGCTATCCTCCCACTGTATAGTAATTTCATTTTGATTTCCCTTATGCTTGCGTTATGAACGAGGTTTTAATGTGATGGTTACCTTTTTTAGTTGTTTTTAACTTTTTATCTTTTAAATGTGGCTGTCAACTCTATATGTCCTTATAAACTGGGTACTAAACAAACTTGACATTTTTTATGGATAGGCTAGGTTTTAAAGGAGCTGCCACAATTCTTAGGAATTCCTGCATTTGACAGTTTTTTAGTATAGCTTATGGTGATAGCCTAGGTTTTAAAGGAGCTGCTGCAATTCTTCAGGAATTCCTCTGGTGATGAGCTCTACTATGATTATGCTGCATTGCTGCTCAAAATCAGTTTATTCCTTTAGAAAAATAGTTCATGTTATTTAGTGGGCTCTGCCTTTTGGTATTACTGTTTCTATTCCTGGAGTTTTATTCTAAAATGCTTCATGATTTTTTAATAATGATCATTATCAACCCTTTTAACAATCATTTTAGATGTTTAGTTATTTGATAGATTATATTTTATACTAGTTTTTAGTTTATATACAGTGAGCTTATAAAACAATCTCTATACTACTTCTGATTATAATCATTTCAGCTGCTTAGTTGATTTCTTCCATTTGCTTACAAAGATGAAATTAGGTCAGTTAAAGTGACAATTTCAAAATTCATACTTCTGCTTTTAGATATACATAAATGTGCTTTACCTTCAAGAAATTGCATTAACCTATTTAAACATATTGGGGTTTCAAGTCATCCTTCCCAAGCTATTCACATAAAGAGATAGCTAGAGAAAACAACTGTTTGGCACACATTGCGGCGGAGTGGCAGTCAGTGGCACCGCTGGTGTTGGTGGTGTTGTAGGCCTGTAGCTGATGTATGGGGCACTGTTGAGGCTAATAGATACAAGGTTTCTTAACTTCTGAAAATCAGACATATTGAGCAGACAATAGTGGGCAGCTCTACCACTTTGGACAAATATGAAGATTGCATTTTTAGTGTAGTATCCCAAAATTGTTATACATAGTTTGGCTCCCTTAAGATACATAGTAATATCCTACAAATGTAACATTGCTCAGGTTCAAATTTATTAAATAAATTGGGCAATTTCTTATCACGCAACACGCAACACGCATCATAATAACCAGTAATCATGATAATACAATGAAGAATCCCATGTAACCCTGATGTGAAGATAATTAATGGTAACACCATGATCTCAGAAGGGCCTTAGATGAAGTAATGCTCGGTTGACTGAAGGGTGCTTAGAGATGAAGATGAATAACGGGCACAGGAAGAACTTTAACCTAAAAAACTGATTTTAACTCCATGTCAGTAAATATTATTTGCCTACAACTAAATTGGAAACATGTTTTTTTATCTACTTATCAAAAAACTGACGCAATCATTCAAATATGATAAAGGAATCAATATTATTTTTTACTTGGTAACCATGATAGAATAGAGATGACTATTAGTTGTGTGACTTGTGTCAAAAAATGTGATCGCTCATTGGTAAAGAAACTTTATAAATAATTTATAATAGATTAATTTAATCATTTGAGTAAGTTTATTAAAAAAAACCTTAAACAAACATTGCTTAATAGACGCATCGATCTAAATCCAAATAGATAACATTAAAGTGTTGATCTAATTCCAAATAAATTAATGTTTAAATGGATTGTTTTTTGGGTTACAATAGTCTGGTCTGAAGTGATATGGTAGATGTTTATTCTATGTGCAGTTTACAACTATCAAATTTGATTTAGTTTGCTTAAGTCTGACCTAGTATGCTCTGCTCTGGATTGATTTAGTAGATGTCAGTTCTATGTGTAATTTACAACTGTCAAAGTCTGATATTGTCTGTTTAGTTCTGATCTGACCTGGTCTAGAATTAAATTAAAATGAGTTCAAAAAAAATCCTTATTATGATAGACATGTAGCGGTAGGGCCTCTGAAGGATACCGTCATCTAGGTTTCGCTCCACCACATGTGGTCTTCCCGACCAGCTATTGTCGATTAGTTTCATCGTCTCGCTGACACTGTCTCTGATTGGGTCGTCGAAGGCTTCTGCACATGTCTGTTTCCATCCAAGTGATTCTCTACCACATGTGGCATTCCTATACATCTGTTGTAGACATTTCCCCCAATTAGGGCCACCATTCATGCATTTTGGGGTACGACCAATTTTGACTGTTCTTTTTTATTGTTGTGTTTGTTTTGATCTATAGCAGTTCTTTCCCTGACACTGGCGCTCTGTGGTGTTTTGTCTCCCTCGATGTGTGGAGTTGCTTTCGTGTTCCGACCAATTTGGACTGGTTATGAGTTTCTATATGACTTATTTTGGGCAACGTGGAGAACAGTAGATGCATAAAAGTTATTTTTGACTCCACCCGATTCTATATCTGTCTGAAACAAAGCAAGAAGAAAAATTTAGTTTTCGTCATAATGCAACAACTCATCCTCCTTAAGAATTACCTCCATGCCATAAAGCGCGCCTTTCAGTCGAGTCACTTTGTACCTCTCGCTTTGCTTGTTTAGTAAAGTCAAGCTTTTTGATAGGAGGCTAGGGCACTCTTCATTCTTCATTTGAAACTCACGAGTGTCGGGTTGAAGATTTCTGCCTTGTTATCAAAAAGGGAGTTGGGTAAAGCAAACTCTCTGGTTGGAGGAGCATGGGTTATATTTGTATTAGAAGTACCTACGTTTATTTTAATTTGAGGAGTTTTGGTTTGAAATTTTGTACATTTGAATATTTGGAGTAGTTTTGTTAGGCAGTGTTTCAATTTTGGCATTTTAAGCTTAAATTGTTTGTTTTATGTGTATCGAGTCAGGTTGCTTTGCATGAAGTGGTCGATTCAATGTCATTCATAGGATTAACAATTGGATTTGTAATATATGTCTGCAAGTTGTGTTGTACGTTTTTTTTATATTAATTTAAAAAAACACTTTTATATTAAAAGAATACCAGAACCTACCGTAGCTTGCTCCACATAAAAGTTTGATTACCATTTTGTTCACCCTTCAAAAGTGAGTGAACAATCACCCCCATCCTATTGGGTACCACATGACATACCAATTGTTATACTTTGTAACTTTTTCATTTTTTCGTCCAGTTGTTTCAAAAAATATATTAGTATTTTAAATTTTTTATGATATGTCATATGATACCAATATTTCATATGTAAAAAAACCTGGGTAAAATATATTCAATAAAAAAGGTTTTTTTATAATTTTTTTATATGCAGTATGGATAGCATTGAAAATCAAATGATATATATTTCATATGTTTTTTTTACATGTTACTAAATCTGATATATATTTTGTGAAAATCAAATTATAAACAAAAAATTATGATAATTAAACAAATAATTATAATGTCAAATAACATGCATTGGAGAGCGGGGTGATGTTCATTCTTTAGGGGAGTGAACAAAATCTAACTCTTCAACTTTAGCAGCCAATATGCTTATATGCCCAAGACAATATATTCTGGTGCCCAAAATCCCCCATTTATCTTGACCGAAAGGGAATATATAACAGAGCCCAGTATGCGAAATTATTTGGTCCGAAAGACGGCCCATGAAAACGCAATACGGAGTACTAAAGAAGACTGGCGCATAGATTTCTCCCACCGCTAGGGTTCTTTTTAAGATCAGGTTCTACTTCACTCTTCCACTTCCGCCTTTGTTCCTCTCTCAATTTCTTCTCGCTCCTCTCTGTATGCTTCTTCCCTGTTCTGTTATTAATCTTTGATCGTTTCCATGGACTCCAATAACTAGACTCTTTTCATATTTGTCTGTAATCTCTGCTGAGGATTCAAGGATTTAGATACATCTCTGTATCTATCTCTACGCTCAAGTAAGAAAGATGACGACCCTGAACCCGTTTGACCTTCTGGTTGACGATGACACCGATGACCTATCTCAGCTCGTCGCCAAGCTTCCTCTTTCTGCTCCGGCTTCCAAAAAGGCTCCTGCTCAGGTCCAGCCTGCTAAGCCCGCCGCCAAGATGCCCTCTAAGCCTCTACCCCCGTCTGAGGCTGGTAATCACCATGACCTCCTTTTTTGTATTTATGTATGCATTAATCGTAATTAGGTGTTTCTTTCGCAACTGATTACTGATTTTAATGATGCGAAATAGGTTGGATATGAATGAAAAAGTTATTGTTTCTGTAATTGCATTCTGAACTTCATGTTGCTTAACCAAGTCGTTGATTTTGTCCACCTTTAAATGAGCTTCGTGCTCTTATTCGTTTGAATGCTTCACTGATTAATGAAATCCTGTGTCCATATTTTTAATTATGGCTCTCTATACTCGTTTGCAATGAAAGATTTAACCAATTATGGCACTCTATACTCGTAGGCCTATATGAAGTCACATTGATTTGTTATCTTCAAAAACCAATTAATTTTCTCCTTCATATTCCACATCTATTCATCAAACTGACAGTTCATTGATATCATCATCATTATTCAGAAGGATAGGGTCAATTACATCTTGTGCATTTTATAAAAGTGGTTCACTGTTGTGTTTCACACACAACGAATCATTCAACCTTAATGAAAAACTGTTCTTTTTTTGCTATGTAACTAAGGGGTACCTGCACTGTAGTTCACAATAATTCAGTTTAGTCTAATAAAATATTAAATGACTAATGTGTATATAATAATATATTAGATTCAATTACATCCAAGTGTAAAAAATTTCTGTATGGCCTTTTCTCTGGCTTTTTGCGCTATAAACAAAGCTTCTAAATTAGTCAGTTACATAATCCATTATTTTAATGCCAAAAGCAACCAAATTAGAAATAAAATAAAGGATATACATGTTCTTTTACAATTGTAACAGTGTATTGGGATAAAGGTTGTAAGAATTAAAAAGACAATTGTTATTACATTGCTTGCTAGAACAAAAATATCAATGTGTGGTGCAGTATTTTTTTTTTTTGAAAAATGTGGAGCAGTAAGTTTATATGCATTTTTTATAGTTCAACATCAATACTCATTACCTGTCAAAACCATGTGCAGTTAGGGAAGTAAGAAATGATTATCAGAGGGGAGGAGCACGCAGTGGCTCTCGTGGCGGAAGCCGTGGCCGTGGTGGCGGTGGCCGTGGGCGAGGGTTCAATAACGAATCAGACAATGAAAATTCTTTTGGTGGAAACAATGGCTTTTCAGGAGGATATAGACCTCCTGAAGAGGGAGAAGGTGGGAAAACATATGAAAAGAGGGGAGACTATGCTGGTGGACCTCGTGGAGGTTTTCGTGGAGGAAGACGTGGCGGGTTCGGAGCTGGCTTTGAAGATGTTGATGGAGAACGCCCTCGTAGGGTATACGAACGACGAAGCGGTACTGGACGTGGGTAAGTATTCACTAGAGCTTGTTTGATACCCTTTAAATGACTAAAGCTGCAGCATCCACCGACATTGCTGCTGAAGTGACCCATTCTGTTGAAGATATTCTTGTATTGGCTTTACACTCTTCTCAACATTGGTTTGTGTATGTAACTCTTTTTGTAATTTTGGTTTGTAGGAATGAATTTAAACGTGAGGGTGCTGGCCGTGCAAACTGGGGAACTCCAGCTGATGAGATAGCCCAGTAAGAATTACCTTTAGCTTATCAATAAGAATGATTTTTAGTAGGTATTGGAATTGGACACTGTCATCACACTTTTGGGTATGCTGGGGCCCTGGATATTGATGTTGTAAACAAAAAAGTCACAAGGGAAGTTATTTTCATGTTTAGTTTCACACCTTAGAAAATCAAAGAAAATATAACATGATAAAATGACTTATATAGAATACATGACTAATAACAATTATTTGAAGCAATATGTTCACTGTGTATCTCATATTTTATTTACCCCTGCATTTTCTTTTCTCCCTATTTTTCTCTGTTTTTCACTTTTACCTTTTAGTTCTTTCCTATGTTGTCCTCCCTGCCATTGTTTATGGAAGGTTAATTTTCTTTTATTCGTACCACAGAGAAACTGAAGAGCCTGTTAATGAGGTTGAGAAGTCTGTTGAAGCTGAGAAACAACATAATCAGGAAGATGCTGGGGAAGCCAATAAGGATGTTGCACCAAATGAGGCAGAGGAAAAAGAGCCTGAGGAAAAGGTATTGTAATTCATTAATGGTAACCAACATTGTTGGCTGAAGAATATTCACTGGGAGTAGTATGGTATGCCAGTGCTTGTATGTTCAATGTAATGGCTGTGTATTTGTTAACTAAGATGTAATATTTTCTGCATTTTCACCATACACCAGTCCAATATAGAAATTGCTATTTTTAATTTAGTCGAAAATAACTTCCTTTTTCTTCTTCTAATTTTGTATATTAGATATAATATCCATCAATTTATTTTTTGATAATCTCTCAAGTACACTCTTCTTATCTTTGATTTGGTTTAGAAGAGTTACCACAGCAATGAATTTCCAGTCACCCATATGTGATCCATTTTTTCATTTTCTGTTCAATACGAATTTATATACTTGTTGTTTGTTTTTATTATTACTCTTCTAACTGAGATTCAAAGCTTTGCTATCAGGCATATATACCTTAAATACAAATATATGTTCATGTAATGTACAAAGTGTAATCGATTAATTTGGTTATCTTTTCCCACACTTGTCTTGGATTAACTATCTTGTGCTTGGATCATCAATCCCTAGGAGATGACACTTGATGAATACGAAAAGCTGCTGGAGGAGAAACGTAAAGCCTTGCTTGCATTGAAACCTGAGGAGAGAAAAGTAGACTTCGACAAGGAATTTGAATCAATGCAGCTTCTTTCAAACAAGAAGAATGATGATGATGTCATGTTTGTCAAACTGGTGAGTTTTATATAACAAATGTGAATGTTCTACAAACATTTCTGAAAGTATATTGATGATTTCTGCTAAATTATAATATTGAAAGTAAAAGCATTTGGATCCATTTCAGGGATCTGACAAGGAAAAAAAGAAAGAAGCTGTGGAGAAGGCCAAAAAGGTATTATAAATAGTCATGTACATTTTTCTTGTGTATAGCTATAGATTTAGACTTCTAGCCATCTGTGGTGTACTTATATGTTGACGCATTTTAATAACTGTTGGCATTTAGGAACTGACAAGTTCATAAAAAGAAAAGATCATAGCGGTTTAATAAAAGCAGTGTTCGATGTAGTCGTGTTCGGTAGAACAAGTTCTAACTATCTTAAATTTTTAACTAATGATAAAAAGCAATCTACGTTTTCTTCGATGCTACTGATAGTAGATTCAAAAAAGATCTTATTTTTTCAAACAACTGCCAAACATGCTCTACAAACGTAGTTGCATACACCCAAGAGCTTTTAAAGACTCTTTAGATACTAAGAACAGCTAGAATGCATTGACATTTTAATGTTGGTTTTATGCATGCGGACAGCTCTGTCTGAGCTTGGAAGCTCAGCTTCACATAAGGCAGGAAAAGAGAAGGACAATTTTTTAACTACATCTTTAACCTAATATTTTTAATGCAAAAGATCTCAAAAGAATAATTAGCTTGGGTTCAATGCCCTAGTCTTTCTCATTAATTATGACCATACACCATACTCCTTACTTTTAGTGTAGAAAAAACCTCACCACCTTCAATCTGAACAGACCCAACTTTTGGGTTTGGAAGCATGAGATATATCCAATTACTGTATTATGTGCATCCTGCTCTGTGTCCCTCCTACTTTCATCACTATTTACAAGTCAGGCATTACGTCTCATTTGATAGTGCATCTGTTCTCTTTTTGTGAAAAGCAAAAGAAAATTCTGAAAACCAGGAAGCGTATCTCTGTTGTTTGTTGTCAACTTCAAAACTAACATTAATACTTCTTGACTATCTAGGAGTGTGCTTTCTTTTAGTTCATTTTACATCGTAAATCATATACTTCATATCCTTTAAACACATTAGATGTTCACATTTTATTGTGTTGCTATTTTTATCCAGACTAAAAATATTACCGAGTTTCTGAAACCTGCGGAAGGAGAAAACTATTATCGGTCCAGTGGTCGTGGAAGGGGGGGCCGTGGTGGTCGTGGCCGATATGGTGCAAACCAGCCCAATGCTGATTCTGGGCGAGGTGGATACTTTGGAAACCGGTCGAGTGTTGATGCCCCATCTATTGAAGATGTGGGGCAGTTCCCAACCTTGGGTTCAAAGTGAGCTAAAAAAAGAATGTCCTTCCCTCCTACCTTATGATTGTGTTATTGCTTCAGCTGAGATATGGAAGAACCTCATATGGAACTGCTGGTTGTTTTTATAACTACCGAGTTTTAAACTTTCTCTTTTTAATAGTGTACACATCTAGATACCACCTCAGGTCTTTTCTCAGCTTTCTTCGACTTTCTTGCTCGTTCTACTTATAGAATTTAGGCACTGTCTTTTACAACTTTTATTTATTTCTTGGATCTTTTTTTGCCGTGTTGGGAACAGTTTTGTTGTGTTCAAATTTGCTTTTTTTTATATTGGCTTCACTTTGTCCTACCCTCTACTTTTTCTCATCAAATCATAAATGTGCTCTGTTGGAATGTGGACATTTCAGTGAAACTTTGAGCGGCATGGCCATGCAAGGTCATATGCACTTTCATATTTGTGTAAGAAGGGTGTTGGCTTTTAACAAATATTTGTGCGGTTTTTCACTTCTTGATTAGTATATGGTCTGGGTCCGACTCTAGCAATATAATATAAAAGAAAAAATTATTCAGGCACCTGAATTGGCCTAGTTTGGCGAATTGGGAGCCTGTCTTTCTTTTGAGCAAGGTGGAGTGCCATGCTTCCGGACACCTGTCCGGTTGTAAATTCAAAGGCCGTAGAACTTGGGGTCCACACTTTTGCTTAGGCTTGGATTCGGTTTGGGCCACCCGGCCTGGCCCGCTACTGTGCGGGCCCGGGATTGTCCTGGTCTGGTGGTCCTGGACCGGGTGTAGACCTGAACCGGTAGGAATGGGCGGTGTGGGCACTGTTCCGGAATAATGTGACCCGGCCTGGCTGGGTCGGGCCTGGGTCTGGGTCCAATGGTCCTATCTTTAATTTTTTTTTGTTAAATAGTTACTAGTCGTTATGGTCTTGGGGGGGTGGGCTGAGGACAACCCAAACGGCTATATAGCCGTTGGGTTGGGTGCAGGGGGTCCTGGGGGGTTGGGTGGTGGGGGGTGGGGGGGTGGGGTAAAAAAACCTATAAATACTCCTAAATCCTAAACATTTTTTCATCTTTTCTCCAATTCTTCCTAAATCCTATTCTTAACTCTCTACTCTTTAATTCTCTTATTCTTCATTATATTATATTTATTATTTATATATCTACTTTATACTTCATCTCCATCTATTGTAGGATTATTATATCTACCATTTTTAACTTTTTAAGATGGAAAGTCAAGATGCTGTTATACGCTATAATTTTGATAAGCAGAAAGACCTGAAGACCGGGATGTTGTACGCAACATGCAAATGGTGCGGGGAAAAATGTAGCATGGGGGGTTTCAGGCGGATACGGGATGACAATGAAGCATATGAAGTCATGTGACAAAGTCAAAGGATCGGGAGGTGTGAGAAGTTTCGATCGATTATAATTTACAAAAAGGATAAAGACCAAAAATGACATTAAGGTTTTTAGTGAATCTCGAATTAGACACTAACGTTTTAAGTAGATCAAATAAACACAAAATTATAGTTTTTGGGTCCATTTTGACCACTCTTTAACTCCTTCCCCGTTAACACCCCTTCCCCGTTAACTCCCCCATCCAATTAAAGCTACCTTGGAGCAGACAACAATGGCAAGGATCGGGATTAAGGAGAGAAAGCAACAATGGAGGTCGATTGTCCTGCCTCGTCGCCGCTCCACCTCGTCACCGCGCCGCCTTGCACTGAAGCCGACGCTCCGCCTTGTCGTCAAAGACGCCGCTCTGCCTTACCGTCGTTTCATCTCTACGTCTATGGCAAAGATCTAGATCTGGTCGTGCTCCGTTTGATCTATAGGATCTCGCCGGCAGCTTGGCAGGTGACAAGGGCTACGAGGCTGAGAGGGGGTTGCGAGGAGGCTGGGGCTCGGGTGGGGGCTGGTTTGGGAGGCTGGGGATGGCTGGTCGGAGTTCGAGCTAGGGAGTGTGGATCGGGGGTTGGCTGCTCGGATCTGGAGCTGGGGAGCTGGCAAGGGCAGGGCAGGGGTTGGATGGACAAGGTCGATTGGGGTGGGCAAGGGGGTAAGGCAGAGCGGCGGGGAACGACGAGGATTGGGGTGGGCAAGGGCTTTTGGGTAACGAAGGGGAAGGGCTTTTGGGTAACGACGGGGAAGGGTAACGGCGGCGTTAAAGGGTGGTATAAATGGACCCCAAAACTATAATTTTGTGTTTATTTGGTCTACTTAAAACGTTAGTGTCTAATCCGAGATTCGCTAAAAACCTTAGTGTCATTTTTGGTCTTTATCCCTTTACAAAATGTTTGTCTCTTGAAGTTTGTTTTAATTTTCAAATGTAGTTCCTATTTCATTTCAAATAAATGCATTTGATGTTTGTTTTTAATACTTGTATAAAACTATAAACTATAAAATATAAAAAAAAATTCTTTAACCGGCCCGACCCGTGACCCGGGCGGGGTGGCCCGACCCGAACCGGACCCGTCCAACCCTCGGGCCGGTCCTGGGCCCATGTCACACAAACCGGCGGCCCGACCCGGGCCTGACCCGGACCTGAGTCCATCCCTACTTTTGCTGATCTCGAGGCCGTGCTCGTCGCTGCTGAACTGCCTGATGCGCAAGGGACCCGCTGTGCGGCAGAGGATCCTGATCCTAGTTTGGCATGGTACTTCGTTGGAAGCAGCATAACTTGTTTGGATTGGTTTCAGTTTTACACCGAAAATGGAATGTTTTTTGGACATGCACATGAAAGCTTGCAGTAACTAATAATACTAGGGTTACATTTGGTAACCCTACTAATAATCATTTGGTTCTCTGTTATTCGTTGTTTCAATGAGGTGGTATTGATTCCATTGTTTAAATCCATGTTTTACACTTTTTGATACACTTTTTGATAAGTAGTATCTCATTTTAATGTCTATTTTCACCAGCTTGCAAGCCTTACAGCCTTACATTAGTCATCCTAACCATACAAGTATATAACATTATTTTGGACACCTCATAAAAGATGCGATGAACTATTTTGCAACAAAAAATGAGAGGGAATACCCACAAACGGTGAATAAGTACTGCATGTCTGCATAGACCTCTCTAAATATATATATATGCACTATTTTATTTTACCCCATTTTTCCAATTTTCCACCTAGGGTGGTCCCACCCGGGGTTCTGGATTGGCACTGTGCCGGCTCAGATTGGGATTGGAATAGCGATTCCAGTTCGGAACTGGGTACCCGACCAGGTTTACCAGCGGGCTCGGTCTTGGTTGTGATAAATGGGGACTAGATTGGGATTGAGGATCAGTTTTTGATTTTTTAAAGTTTTTTTTTTGTTTGAGGCGGGAGGGGGGGGGGGGGGGGGCAACGACTATAATCCTGTTGGGGTTTGGGGGGTTGGGTTGGGCGGTTTGGTTGCCGCGGAGATTAAAAAAAGGGAAATGTACAAATAAATCCATGTAATATTTATAGTGCAAAGAATGCAAAATATTTACTCCGTATTATATTTCTTTACATTGCGATAGTAAAGTAATGTTTTACAATATTAAATTGTAAAGTTTATATATTAAAATGTTTTACAAAATAGTAAATTTTTTACATTTATATAGTAAAGTTTTGAAATAAGATTTTATACTAACAATATTAAATTGTGTTATGCAAACAACAAAGGGAGAATTGAACACAAGTATATTTTTAAATTTTTTTATTTTTAATTTTAAATTTATAATTTATTTTTGATATTTTTTGAAATTTATTTTATCAATTTAAAGTCAAATTTAATTCTTAAATTTGCTCTTTTATAAGAATATGAGGGGTATTTTTCACCTTTTAAAATTCCAAGGGCATATATGCACTTCTACATATACTTCAGGGGTATACTTGTTCCGAAAAATAAAACAAGTATATATTTGTTCTCACACTCATACTATAAGGGTATATTTGTACCTTTTCCCATTAGAAAAACCTATATATACCTTCCAATTCCAAAAAAATCCTAAACCTATTCTCTCCTAGTTTATTATCTAATTCTCTTTACTCTTATCCTGTGATAATTATCGACATCATAATTCTATATATTTATATCTACTTATATTTAAATAATGATATACCTATTTATATTTAAGTATATATATATATTAGAGTATTAAATATAATTATACTACTCATTGTATAGTACTCCGTATTATATATATACATACTATTAACATTATATTTCATATTATATATTAAGTATATTATCTTATTACTCGCATTAATTATACTTACGTTAATTTATTAAGTATAGTATAGACTTTACAGTTTATACTTATAGTTAACTTATTGCTACATTTATTTGTCAGAGTTATATGATCTTATTACATACATTAGTTATACTTACATTAATTTACTGAGTGCAATGTATACTCTATAGTTTATACTTATAAGTTATATATATACCAGAGTTTATACTTATAGTTTATACACGTTTAAACATTAGTTTATACTCGGCGTACTCCATTTAAAGAATGCTTCACACGTTTAAAAGAAAAAGGTACTACTTTCAATGGAGTACTCTGAGTTTGACTACTTGTTTACCAAATTTCAGGGTTAAAAAGATGGAATCTCTCACCCCAGAAGTCCCCCACCTGACTCGACGGGATGGTAGGAGAGTTAATCACGGTGATTCAGTCAGCAAAGCGGTGGTAGGCCTTATACACGTGCGCACCAGAGGTTCAGCCTGATTTTAGGTTCTGTAACCTCCACACGACCGCTACGGGTTTCGAACCTTAGTCAGTTGATCTAATTTCCCCACCACTCGACCAACTGAGCTACTCGTGCGGGTATTAAGCTTTGAAGCCTAACGGTCCTTTGACGACTCTTATTTTCATTTTATCAGTTTAATGGTATTAAACTGTATGCTCCTATTGACATTATTGTGGACAAGAATAGATATTATGGTATGATACTCTGCTCCTACTAGGTACCACCAAGCAACAGACCTCACACACCTGCTAATTGAAGACAGAAGGCCGCTGAAGTACTGATTGAACACACCAACACTTTGATTGTACTCATACATGTATTTTGTCTTCAAAAGCAATGTATAGAATGACCTTTATGTTCATATTCATGTGATTTGTATTGTACCTATGCATGAGAAATATTTCCAAATCTCATTTCAAGAGTTGAATCTATCAAGTTTCATAGTTGGTTCATAATTTTGTGCTAAAGTTTGTACTTATATTAACTATAGGAATTTAATGTCTGCGCCTGAAACATTAATGACATGTTACTGTCTACTTATGGACAATATTCCATAATTCAACCAACATTATAAATCAACTTAACACTAAATAACAGTGATCAAGCATTTGATATGTCACTAAAAAACAAGATTACACATAGTCAAACTGATTTGCACCAATATTTAGGAACAATGCTTAATGAACAAAAGAAGGAATTTTACATGTTCTTTTCTTTCCCAAGATCCTAATCATAATAATTACAAAGCGTCGTAGTCTAACTACTTCCATCTTGATGCATACATTAGTAACTTCGTCGTCATTTTTAGCGGTAGCTATCAACGTCTTCCTTCAAAACTTCACTCAAATCTTTACCCATCACTACAAATTCAGCAAATTTGATGACAAACATACCACAATTGTCCCTGCAAATGTTTAAACTTAAAGGTAAGCATTTTTAATGTATTAAGTTATGTAAAGAATATCAAAATACACCCAACATACCCATCATCTTACTGTGGACAAATATGAACCACATTGATACAAACTGATATTTCTAAATTACTGTCTTATACGGACTCGTTAATGCCCATAAGTAGACCTTAATCAGAACCCTCTGTTTTCTGGATCAGTCTTTAGTGATTGAACACAACAGTCACTTTAGCAATCTTCATTCTTAAAAACCACACCACACCCCTTTGTCCCAAACTTAGAGGGACAGAGGTAGTACTTTAAAACCTCGGTAGCTACCCTATCAAAAGCATTAGAAACTCATCAATTTTTATCTCTCTCTCTCTCTCTTACACACACACACACACACACATATATATATTATATATAGGGTTGGGTTCTAATAAGAAGACATCTTAACGTGAGAAGCGAGAAGCTTCACATTTGCCTCTTTCTGATGCACTTTTTCGCTAATCTGATGCACTTTTTGCGATGGCAGAAAAGTTCCAATTAATTACGGATATGCCACCACGTCTAGCATCACTTTTTAAATATTTTTTGCACTTTCCCGTGCAATTTTTTGCTAACTTGATACACGGATCTTAAAATGAACTCACCAGATGCATTCTCACTTCTTACGATAAGCACTCTTCTCATTTGATCCTTATTCTATACTCTCTCCGTCCCGAATTGAATTGCAAACTTTGACCGGCACAAGGATTAAGAAATGACAATAAATGATGTTTGCTTTTTACACTTTTGTCCATCTTTCTCCCGTGCAAAGTGCAAACAATTGCACTTTTTCAGCACCGCGTTGCACTTTTGGGTGTTTCTGTTGCACTTTTACGCGATGGCAAAAAACTTCGTTTTAATTACGAAATTGCCACCGCGTTTTTGATCAAATTTTGTTCACTTTTGGCTCATTTTGAGCCATTAGATCTCGAAATGAATGCACGAGATTAATTCTCACTTTGCATGGAAAGACCTATTTGTATTTGAACCCTCCCCTATATATATATATAGGGGAGGGTTCAAATACAAAGAGGTCTTTCCATGCAAAGTGAGAATTAATATATATATATATATATATATATATATATATATATATATATATATATATATATATATATATATATATATATATATATATATATATATATATATATATATAGGGGAGGGTTCAAATACAAAGAGGTCTTTCCATGCAAAGTGAGAATTAATCTCACTTTGCATATATATATATATATATATACACACACACACATATATATAGGGAGTGGTTCCGGTGAGAAAGGGCTCTTAGGAGAGAAATGAGAATGAATCTGGACCTTCAGATTGTATTATGTAAAATTGAATTGTGCATATGATAAAACTGAAATGTGCTTTAAGTGAAATTAAAATGTGCAGAATGAAAAGTTAAACTCAAATGTGCATTATGTGAAATTGAAATGTGCATAATAAAAGTCACAAAAATGTCACGGCATTGTAGTTTTTATTCTGCACATTTCAGTTTCACCTAGTGCACGTTTCGGTTTGCTCTAATGCACAATTCAGCTTCACATAATATCATTGTGTCTTACTCTTTGTGGTGCACATTTTGATTTCACCTAATGCACATTTCAATTTCACTTAATGCACATTCAATTTCACAAAATATAATCTAACGGTCCAGATTCATTCTCTTTTCTCTCCTAAGATCATTTTCTCACTTGAACCTAATTATATATATATATATATATATATATATATATATATATATATATATATATATATATATATATATCCTGCATTTCCACATGCAAAATGACAATATTAATTTCTATAGCATTTTACCCGTTTAAAATGAATTGAAGTTGTTAAGTTTATGTTGTACATACTCATCTTGCTGTTATGGATTGTTGCACACCATTTCAATATCACTTTTACTTTCACATTGAACAATAGTGTGATCTTAGCCAGTTCATAACTTAAAGTCTCAGACTGATTAGTTGCTCATTATAAGCTCTTTTGAAACTCTTGCATGATTCTGTTTTGATTTTATCCTCTATTGTGAGCTTCTCAATTTCAGCAAAAGCTTCATCTAATTTCTCGTGTCATGCACTCATTAGTGATACATTGTTTGTATGATCTTATAAACATATGAACCATACATAGATAAGTTATTTACTCCTGCCATTAATAAAGCTCAAGCAATAAACCTTTATTGCCTGGAGGGGGTGGTGAAGCTAAAGTAGTAATCTACTGGTCCGTGGTGTCTTCCCCGTTCTTCCTGCAACATATAAACATCAAACATTCTTCTCCTCTATCTTTTCCTTTCTCTTCCCCATTTGTTCTTCTTTACCACCTAAATAGTCTTCATTAGTTTTCTCCGTAATCGGCTTGCGTTATTGTGGTCCTTTTCAATTGCAATTTCGCAGCTCCGAAGAACAATTGCTCTCAGTACGAAAACTAACTGTTCTTCATTTGTAGACAATATTTTCGAGCAAGATTCAATTGAATAAAAACAATTAATAGATTACCGGATAAGATGAAAGAACAATTTCCTTTTCACATTGTTTTTCTTCGACTTCTTCTGCGTTTTCATTATCCACCTCGATATTTTCTCTCTTCAGCATTTGTTCTTCTTTACCGTCTCGATGTTCTTTGTCGACTTTCTTCATAATCGACTTTCTTCATAATCGACTTTCTTCGTAGCCAGATTTCTTGGTTTCCCTTTTCAGGTGTGATTCGGTCGGAAGCCATGGAAAAAAATATGGGTTGCGATTGTTTTCGCCGTTGAGTCCTGCGATTGTTTTTGCCGATCTGGTTCTCCATGTTTGTTGATCTGATTTTAAATAAGGAGTATAATAGTCATAGCATGTTCACTTTTGTCCTACGCCACATGGAAGTCCTAATTTTAGAAACTTGGTATGATTTGGTCTTATTTGTAAATTTTTTCCTTTTATTAGGTAAATTACCCTAAATAAGACTAAAAACGTTTGTATATTCCAAAATAAGAGTATCATATTTTTATTCCCAAAATAGAACTAATTACTGCAATGTTTTGACAGTACCAGACATCGAACATGGCAGTATTTTCCACATTTGAACAATACTTACTTCTTTTTTGAAAATAAAAACATGACAATCATGTTTTGAAATTTTCAAACATTTTTACTCATATTTCAGAAATTTTCCTATTTTAGTATTAAATGTCTCTTTTTTCTTCCCTCATCACAATCATATACGGAGTATTTCCAATTGAGTTTTTGCCACTTTTGTTCCCCTGAGTATTGTGTCAGTGACACTTTTGGTACACGACTTTTATTTTTTCCATTTTTAGTCCTCGACTATTGTTCGTGAGACACTTTTAGTCCTCTACTTTCAAGTTTCCCACATTTAGTCATTTGAGTATTATCAAATTGACACTTTTAGTCCTTCTACTATGATTTTGACACAATAAGTGGAGGACTAAAAATGTCTCTATTGCAATAGTTGAAGGACCAAAAGTGTCACTTCTACAAAAGTCGATGGACTAAATACGGAAATTTTCAAAGACGGATACCAAAAGTGTCCCTCGCGCAATAGTCGAGAACTAAAAGTGAAAAAAATAAAAGTTGAATACCAAAGTGTCATTGACACAATAGTCGGGGACTAAGAGTGGCAAAAACTCTTTCCAATTTGTTATTAAGAATGTCAATTTAAGGTTAGAAAACTTTGGGGGGAGCTGGGATTATTTAGGACTATCTGGTACAACTGTGGAAGATGAGAATGACGAAATGCGATGCTGTGACCTTTCTCTTGTGCACAAAAGACGCAAATATGTCTCCACAGCTCTTATCAGAGAACTCATAAAATGCCAGCTTCTTCGTTTTTCTTCCCGTTCTGAATCTCAAAATTCAAATTCTGGCACGAGCTCACACACTGCACCTTCAATTCTATCATCTCGTGCATCACTCCTATTATCCGACTTCAATCCGAGAAAGACTCAGTTCTCGAAGTACTTGAACAACGTTACGCAAAATGACCCATTTGAATTCTCTTCCATTGTTTCGTCTAACAGGAAAATCACGAGTTATATTCGATCCGGGGATTTATTTTCCGCCCTTAGAGTCTTCGAGAGTATGACTGTTAGGACTACAATAACATGGAATTCAATCTTGGCCGGCTTCTCAAAGACACCGGGGATGTTTCAGGAGGCCCGTCAGATGTTTGATAAAATTCCTGACCCAGATGTCGTGTCCTACAACACAATGTTAGCTTGTTATTTAAGTAATTCCTTCACTGGAGCTGCAAAGAGTTTCTTCGAAAAGATGCCCGTAAAAGATGTCACTTCTTGGAATACCATGATTTCAGGGTTTTCCCAAAATGGGATGATGAGTGAAGCTCATAAACTGTTTGTTGCAATGCCCATGAAAAATGAGGTGACTTGGAATGCTATGATATCAGGATATGTTGTGTCAGGGGATCAGGAATCAGCATTGGGAATGTTTAGCGAAGCACCTGAAAAGGGTGTGATTGCCAAGACTGCCATTATTACAGGGTATATGAGACGTGGGAACATTGAGTTGGCAGAAAAGATATTTGAAGATATGGCAGAAAAGAGTGTGGTCACTTGGAATGCTTTTATTGCGGGTTATGTTGAGAATAATAGAGCTGAAGATGGTCTTAAGTTGTTTCAGAAAATGGTGAAGCTGAGGATTAAGATAAACCCGTCAACTCTAAGTAGTGTACTATTAGGTTGTAGTAACTTATCCTCATTCAGGTTTGGAATGCAAGTTCATCAGCGTCTTTGTAAGCTACCCATATGTTTTGATATGACAGTGGCAACTTCACTAGTTAGCATGTACTGCAAGTGTGGAATCTTGGAGGATGCATGGAAGGTGTTCATTGATATGCCAAGGAGGGATGTTGTCAGCTGGAATGCAATGGTTTCAGGTTATGCTCACCATGGGAAGGGACACGAGGCTCTTCATTTGTTCAATGAGATGAGAAACAAAGGAATTCAACCAGATTGGATAAGTTTTGTTGGGGTTTTGTCAGCTTGTAACCATGCAGGGTTGGTTGACCTTGGGATTCATTATTTTGGTATAATGCAGAAAGAATATGGGATCAAACCTAAACCAGATCATATTACTTGTATGGCTGACCTTCTTGGCAGATCTGGCAGGCTATACGAAGCCGTTGATTTGATAAAAACAAATATAGACGACATCAAACCCCACCCTGCGTTCTTTGGAACCCTTCTGGGTGCTTGTAGGACCCACAAAAACGTACAAGTTGCCGAGTTTGCCGCAAAAGGTTTGCAAGATCTTGACCCTAGAAATGCAGTTGGGTATGTTCAACTCGCTAATGTTTATGCATCAAAAAACAAATGGGAAGGGGTTTCCAGAGTTAGGAAGATTATGAAGGATAACCAAGTGATAAAGACACCAGGATGTAGTTGGATGGAGGTCAAGGGTGGAAGGGTCCATGAATTCAGATCAGGAGATAGGCTTCACCCGGAGTTACAAGCCATACACACAAAACTAAACGAGCTGGAGATGAAGATGAGATTGGCAGGATATGTGCCTGATCTTGAGTCATCCCTGCACGATGTGGGGGAGGAACAGAAGGAGAAGATGCTTCTTTGGCACAGTGAGAAGCTGGCTATTGCTTTTGGCTTACTGAGAATACCTCCAGGGATACCAATTAGGATTTTCAAGAATCTTAGGGTTTGTAGGGATTGCCATAAAGCAACAAAGTTTATTTCTGCAGTTGAAGGTAGAGAGATCATTGTCAGAGATACGACAAGGTTTCACCATTTCAAGAATGGATCTTGTTCGTGCAATGATTACTGGTAAATCAAACATAGTTTTTTTTATTCTCATTGTTTGCTTACCTTCTTGGTTACGTCATTGAAGGAAGAAATGCTTATGCCTTTGCTGGAATTTGACTAGAATATGTTATTTGCGCTTCCCTCTGCTGGTGGGGAATACATGTGTAGTTTTGTCTAGAATTTGTCTATTTAATTTGAGGTTTAGATTGGGTTTGTATTAGAAAATAGAAACTTGTTTCTTTGTATCATACTTGAAGCTTTCATCCATCTACGCCTCTCAATTTCATCAATTCCTCTACCGAGAATTAATATATGATTCAACTCTCCTCATCATTCGTACTGCATATTCACTGATTTCAACATGAATCAATTGCATATACTCTCCTCTATCTCGTTCTATGCACCACGGAATTTCAACTTGAGATTCCGTGGTGCATAGAACGAGATAGAGGCCACATGTTCTTTGGTTGCCAAGAATGAAAGTATGCAGAATTAATTACATTGAAGAATGTGATATATTATTTGGGATTTTGGGAAGTGAAGTTATTCGTGTTCGAAATGATTTAGACAGGTTAAATTTACTTGTGGAATTTTAAATTAAGTAAGAAGCATGCTAGCTTTTAGAGGGTCATGTGAATGGTAGTACCGAAGTCTGAAATGGGGTTGTGAACAAGAGAAACTCGTGGTCAAATGAGATACTCAGATACAGAAAGAAGCACACATAAAGTTTCTTCTTAATGAGTTGGCTTGTTTAGTGACCATATTTTTCGGTTTAACGTCCTTATTACCCACTTTTTCTACTAAACACGTAACTTCATTCCGCAAGCTGAATTGTATGTTAATCAAAATAAGTTAAATTGAATTTTTTTCCTGGTTGAATTAGTTGAAATTACTAACCAATTTTAACTATTTTTCATATAATTTTCTTTTTTTCCTAGTTGAATTAGTTGAAATTACTATAAATGACCAATTTAACTATTAATCTGTTTCATTGGACTTTGCTAACTTTCCCTTTGTCCCAAAAAACTTTGCCACTTTCCTATTAAAAAAACTAATTTGTGATTTTGATCAATTTTCTTTCCTCCGCATAAATCTCAATCAAACAATTTTTACTTTTCTTATTTCTCACATACTTTGAATTTGACAAAGTCCATCAAGGCAGATAACATTATATATATGCAATTTTCCACAATTCAACATATTCAACAATTCAGCCAAATCTTCTTTAATTTCAATATATTCAACCAATTTAGCAAATTTTAGTTCTACCAAATGGACACATAGTTAACAAATCTTCAAAGGAGATGTGATTATCACATTAAACAAACAAGTAAAAGCAACTAGGTTAGTTCATACTTTTTTTAAAGTATTTTCTCCATCCCGCTAACATCAATCACATAAATCCACTTTTTTTAATAACCGTGCTACCTCCTCATGACTCAATGTTAGTGGGACAGGGGTAGTAAAATGTGTGATTGAGGTTTGTACATGGAAGAGAATTAACTAGAATCACAAATTCTTTACTTAAAAAGGAAAGTGACAAAGTTAGTGAGAACAAAAAACACAAAGTTAACAAAGTTTTAAAAGACTTGGTAGATTTTAGCGTAAAAATCGTGCAACACTTGCCAGAAGTAGGTAGATGCAATTCATGTACCCTGACAATAGAACATCATAAGACTAACATACAGAAAAAGAATATAGAGTCGCAAACAGTCTAAATTGGATGAAGCAATAGCAAATATGTTCAGAAATTATTACATGCTTGACCTTGATAAGGATGGAACCCCAGTGCCCTGCACCCCTTGACTATAATGAGAACAAATAATAGTCTTGTAGCTACGCAGTCTAGCAGCAACCATCCTAAGTTTTTTTGTACAGAAGCTGTTTATACTTTAAAGTTGTGGAAAGAATTGGTGATTAAACTAAGAGCGGGAATGAAAAATATGAAGCAACCATGCATAATTGTCTACTTTCAAGTCGAATAATCAAACTTCAGTTTTTACACACCCAAACAACACTTTCCAGAATGTATAAACCTCCTTCCTCAACTTCCTCAACCTGAGCAGCAACCAGAGCTTTGGTTGTTGACAGGCTGGCCTCTAATCTGGACGGTAGGGGGACGTGCATTGCTGGAGGCAGGTTGATTTGCCATTCTACAAAAACAAACCAAATCAAACCAAACCCAACCAAATGGTATTATTACCCATCCAGGGGAAACTTTAAAGAGGGTTAATAAATAAAAAACGTGCCCCACAAAACAAAATGGTCCTTTAAAAGGGGGGGTTATTGCATCCACTTCCCTTGAAGTTTGATAATTTCACCAAGTAATCCCTGAAGTTTATTTAGAATTACGTAATACTCTTAATAAGTCATTATTTCTGAAAGTGAGAGCGAAAGATGATAGAGTGATAGACTATTATGATATAAACGTAGTCATCCATTCTTAACATCTTGATACATATGAGATGCGATAGAGATAAAATATCTTGTATGAAATGCTTGATTCCTAATTATACTTTTAAGTTTTAACCATTATATATTTTAAAGTTACAGTTGATATTCACCAATAAATGACCGGTCAAAGCGGTTGTCTGTTGTAATTTGTATAACCTTCATGGACCATTTTGTAATATATGAAAAACAACCTTGGGGAAGGTAAATGTAATTCATCCTAAATAAAGGTAATGTATGACAAAGAAATGTAGTTGTACCTCTTCTTAATTGAAGCAGTCATTTCCATGAAAGCTTGCTCCACATTTTGTGCATTTTTTGCACTTGTCTCCAGCAATGGAATCCCAATCTCATCAGCAAAAGCCTACAACATAACCACTTCATTGACACAGTTTTTTTTATCAATTGTCATCAACATGGGACGGTGAAAAAAATTGATTTACCTTGGCTACTTCATAGGACACAGCCTTCTGTGCTGTTAGGTCACTCTTGTTCCCGACAAGAAGCTTGTTTACATTATCACTTGCATATCGATCAATTTCACTCAGCCATTGTTTCACATTATTGAAACTCTCCATGTCAGTTACATCATAGACCACCTGACAGAAAATGGCACCATGTCAAGGCCCGGGTTATCACATGGAAATAAAAGTAAACAACCCTACATCTCTGTTTGGTAACAAGAAGTGGCTTGTGTACTTGTGTAGTTCACTTATCAGCGGAATAAGCAGCTTTTGACTTGCTTATTTCGCTGAAAAATCGAAAAATTTATACATGTCGGCCAAATAAATCTTATGTAACATACAATTATGCCATGGGCCCCACGATAGTAACTACTAGTGATTGTCCTAAATCGTTCTTGACCAGCAGTGTCCCACTGCAAATAAAAAGGTGAAAGCATTAAAGTCAATTGTATTATGATACAGAGCAGGGGAAGGAATACAAGATACCATTAACAAGATGGGAGTATTACTTACAATTTGGAGTTTAATGGTTTTCCCATCTTGTTCCACCGTGCGGATTTTCTATATGAAATTAAATAAAGATAGTTCAGAACATAAAAACAAAAAAAAAAAAAAATATTAGTAAAGTTGCAAATTTGTAAAATTACTTACAAAGTCTACACCAATGGTACTGATGTAACTCTCTAGATATGAATCATCCTATAATTGAAAACCACGAAATGGAAACCAAAAAAAGACCACAATCATTTATAAATATATGTTGGCACTTGTGCTCTATATAAAATCCATCAACATGACAAAGGAAATGTTAAATGTAAATTGAATAGATACAACAACAGTATATATAAACACACAAGATGAAAATTGATTAGAATTGTCTTGTGTAACATCAATTGGGCAATAGGAGAATTCCATATTCCCAAATTTTCTCAAGGAAAAATAAAATAAAATCGAGGTTTTTTATAATATTACTATCAAAACACATCATGATAATGGAAAAGATGTTCAGACACCCAAAATTGACCAGTTATATACTTCGTATAAGTTTGAAGAAGCAAAACTTACAGCAAACCTCAGAAGAAGACACGACTTTCCAACCCCAGAGTCTCCAATTAGCAAAAGCTTAAAAAGGTAGTCACTGCCATAAAATGCATCAAAACAGCGTAAGAGGAAATTAAAAGCGTGAAGAGAAGAAATGTTGGCTTTTCAAGTTCAAGATCAGCTTATAGTTTTATAAGCTACTAGGCATTCAACTGTTGCTGCCTAAGGAAAGAACAAAGAGGGCGGAGATCTAAAGCTATCATTTGATCATTTCACCAAAATAAGGGATTAACTACTACAGATAATAATAAATTAATCAACTTAAAGACTCAAACAAGGGAGACGCCTCTCATAAGGCAATAGTGCACAACTACAAATCAAGAAACCTTTAGTCTTTATTTCTTCTACAAGCACAACACACTATGAATAGAACAAGACATTTTTTATAACATGTATCGAGGAAACCATCATATCTCAGGAAGCTATTTCAAAACTAATAGCCAGTGAAAAGAATAACAATCTCCATAACTTTCTATAGTCAGTTTAAAGAAAACGAACGGCAGATTTGAGATTTCCTCCTAGCACTTGTTTCTCAACCCCTAAAAGCCAGTGATTTAATTGTATTTAACCAATAAGCAAATCTAAACTAGCTCCGGTGATGAGGGCTATCCATGCGGGAATGAGACAAAATAGAAAGCCGAAAGAATCAGAAACTTTATGATTGCAAAGATGTCGTCGGTGCTATCAAATCAATACAAAATTACAAATTATAAACTTTAGCACGGGAAAACCAGATGAATCTATAGGAAAACAAACGACAGATCTGATGAAGCTTTAATATAGACACTGTGTTTTCCAAGCAAATCGATGCAGATTGTCTGGAGAAGGTAAAATGACTCACTATTCAGGATTCATGGCTGCAGCACGGTTTTAGATCGGCGCGTCTGGATGGAAGATCAACGTAGACCTGTAAATTCCGAAGAATTTTATATTTTCCAACAAGAACTAATCGGATTTGTAAAGTCGTCGTCAGATGCAAAACTGCAAGAAGCTACAGCCTAAAGAGAGAAGAAAATACCAACACGGCCCGGGTGCATTAAAACGCGAACGGTAAGAAATGGCCGAATAAAATGTTCAATTTTGATCGTGTCCTAAAACATAAAATGTTCTGTTTTGTTATATACTCCGTATAAAACAAAACAGAACTATTCAGAAATTGCATCTCAGAATCCCTCAGATCAAGAATGTTTTTACTTGTACTGTAATTTTATGATCTGGTCTGGTCTGGTCTGAACTGGTCTGGTCTGGTTTCTTTGTATTTTTATAACTATCCAAGTCTGGTCTGGTCTGGTCTGGTCTGGTCTGAACTGGTCAGGTCTGGTCTGGTCTGGTCTGGTCTGATCTGGTCTGGTTTGGTCTGGTCTGGGACGAATTACAGTCCAAGTAAAAACATCCCAATTCCCAAAAGTAGTACCTCGTTTTAATCGTACTATACAGATCGATTATAAGGTTAAATCGTAACGATGTTGAATTAATTATAAAGGTTGAATTAATTATAAGGTGTGTGATTGCTTCTACTTAAAAAACATGATTTTTATTTGATTTTAGAGAAAATGCTTAAAATGAAAAATTGAAAATTATAAGTTAGTCAATAAACTACTCCCTCCGTCCCGGTCATTTCTTCCAGTTTTGATCGGTATCGCAAATTTATGCAAATTTCTAAAGGGGTTGACTTTCCCCTAATACCCCTACCCATCCCAACTCCCCATCACTGGAAAACCCCCACCCTGCCCCATCCCGCTCTAGCCCCGCCCCTCTTTCCTAACTACTTCTCAAGCTTCAACTCCGACCAGCCAGTCCCAATCCTACCCTCCTCAACCCCAGATCCGACCCGGTCCATCATTTCCCCTCCCCAACCCCAACCTCTACCGCCAAGCTGTCGCTAGCCGCCATCCCTGTAACTCGCCCATTTGAATCAACCTAAACATGGAGAAAGGTGAAGAAGAAGACTACAAACCTGGACGAGATGGTGTGGGTTGTTGCAATGAAGACGGCGACGGCGACGCAGCTTCGCAGCGACGAATACAACGGCGGTGTGGGGAATTGGCTACGCAATGACGAATACAACGGCGGCGTGGGGAATTGGCTACGCAGCGACGAGGTCTCAGGGTCAGGGGCGGGTAAAAGGGAAGGGGAAGGGGAATGGGAAAGGGTTTTTTTATTGGGAGGGTAAGATAGGGTTTTTAGTAGAGGTTGATTTCCTTTTTAGGAAAGTTGGAAGAATTAAATGGAACAGCCCAAAAAAGAAAACTCACTAGTGTAGAAAACACTTTCTATATGGGTTAAAAAGCACTTTTTATGTCGGTTCCCGTAACGACATAGTAGCCAGCGACATAGAAAGTCGGGTTCTTTTCGTGTCAGGTAGTCGTACCCGTTATAAAATGTTTTTTATAACGGTTACGAATTTAACCGTTATCGAATGTTTTTATGTCAGTCCATTAATACCCCATATAAAATCCTTTTTATATGGGTTAAACCACCAACCGTTATAGAAAGTCGATTTTTTTATTAAAAAAATAATCGCATTTACTGTCACTTATATATAAGTGATTTTATATTTTAAAATGTTATGTTTTATTTAAGTTTGCTACATAATAAAATTTCCAATTCATACTAAAAATATATAGTCTAGAAATTAATGAGTAATATGTAAGCAGCCCCTAGCCATGTACATTTATTAATTCAAAACAAAAAGAACAATAGGCTCATTTGCACATCCGCAGTACAGAAATCAAAGTAAATAACATAGCAACGCACAACACAAACAAGCACAACAATCGAGTAACAAATGCAAAAAATCACCATGGATTCAATCATTATTTATTTTACATTTCAAAGTGCCCAATATAATAAAACTTGCAACCTACGATCAGTAATGGAAGAAATGATCGGGACGGAGAGAGTAATAACTAGTAGCCTTTGCCCCGAGCAAGAGGTGAACGGGGTACTATATTCTCAGCCCAAATACTACATAACGGCTCTTTAACGCATTCCCTAGCTGAATACATTAGTATGCCTTTTAGGTTGTTGCGTCTTATCCGCCTCATTGAGGCAATTATCAATCTTATCAACCACATAAACTCAATCAATTCATCTTTCTTACAATTGTTTATTCAACTAGAAAGTAACCACATAAACTCACTTTGCAATTGTTTAAGCTCAACCTAGTCCCACAGTTGTTAAAAGTTACTCCCTCTGGTTCCAAAAGATCTTGACACTCTGACTTCACATTTTTTAAGAAAATAAATTTGACTTTACTGTAGCTAGAGTACGGCATTTGACACTATTTGGCACTGTTTTGTGTAGATTTATTTGCCAAATAAGGCAAATAAGGGAGTGTAAATATCTTTCTGGTACTGCTAAAAATGGAAAGTGTAAAGATCTTTCAGAATCGGATGGAGTAGTTAGTAAATCTTTTGGGTAGACCCCAAGAATACTATCGTGATTGCTTTTGCTTTTAAGCATTTTTAACTAACTTTTATTTAATAACTTTAATCACTTAATCAATTCATCTTTCTTGCAATTGTTTATTCAAACTGAAATTCTTGAGAGGATATACCCGAAAGATTCAAAAGTAGTATGTGCCTCATTGTGTGGCGGGGTCAGTGGTGTCGTTAATGCCGACGACAGACAACGTTCACAAACCCCTCGAAATACAAAGAAAATTGCAGGTGAGCATTGAAGAACAAGGCACATACCTTCAGATGTTTGAATGTGTGAAAAAATAAGGTAGAAAAGGAAGCACGAAAATCGAATATGGGGATACTGAGAGAGATGAGGGTATGTTTTATTTAAACTAAAGAATTGTTTCAATATACAAATCCCTAAAGTTCACAGCTCGATCGATTACACCGACAAAAACACACAATATCACACATCGCTACGAGAAGAACATATCTCTCACTCACTTGAAGCGAACAAAACTTTCGACCAGAGAAAAGGCTAAACCAAAATCAGAACTCTCGAACGAGAAATCAAATAAGAGCGAGATCATAGAAAATCTTTGAATTGTTACTTCATTGTCCAGAAAACATTGTCATCAACCAAGACTCTTGTCGGTTGGAGAGGAGAAGACTAGGAGATCTCATTGCCAAGTGATCCCGCGCCGCCGCCTATAGTTTTCCTATGGTTGGTTCTCGCTCGTGTTGTTTTGTTATAGTAAGTAAATTTGTTACTTACGAAACCATCATATACAATTGTTTGTCAATTTACGCATACGAATGAAATAACAAATAATGATGAATGAACAATGTCACCTTTGAAATGTAGACAAGAGCTTTACTCTTCCTCCTTGAGTGTTTCTTCATCTCTCTCGGACTTTAAATGATCATCTCTGATTATGTTTGTGGACATACAAAAATTACTGGGCCAACTATGATAGCTATTGAGCTCTTAAAAGCTACCGGGCTATATTATTTGCTAGTAGGCCACTGTCGGATTCTGTTGGGCCGCTCGTGATGGTTGTTGGGTTTTATAAAAATATTAATATGGACCCATTCGGATAAAATTTAATAATTGAATTAATTTGGGTCATTTAAATATCCAATTAATTTAATCTTTAAAAGAATGGACCGGTCCTATTTTGAGCCCATTATTAAATAATAGCCCGATGAATAAGAGACATGATCCGATTGATAAAGATAACAATGAATATGGTTAAGAAATCCATCCGTATGCATGGAAAATGGCTGTGAACCTTGTTAAAAAGGATGTCCAGATACGTCAAACAAGCGCTGATTTTTCTAGCTATTAAATGCAAGCAAATAGAGTCCAAAGCCCATTTTAATTAGGGCCCATGAGATATGGACGAATTTGACAACCCTAAAAGCATATTTTCACCCCATCCACACCTATAAATAGGGGTCTCAGTTGAGAGGAAAGGGGAGGAGAATTTTCAGACGAAGAAACGTTGCAGAAAAGCTCTCAAGAACTCCTGTAAGGCTCTGAACGATCCCTAAGAAGAGGAATAGATCAAGCCACGATTTTTGTTAAGAATATACGAATAATCCTTCGTGATTTCGTCGATACTTAATAAAATAAATCCAAAAGATGAAGAACGTTCGAAGATCTGAAGAACGAAGCATGAAGATTCGAAGATCTGAAGAACAAGACTTTGAAGATTTGAAGATATGAAGAACGAAACTTTGAAGATTTGAAAATATTCATATTAAGATTGAAGCAAGATTCAATTAAAGATCAAGCCACATATCCCGGGAGGCCCTTAAACAGAAGATCAAGCCATAAAACGGCCCTTTTGTTGAAGATCAAGCCACTTGAAAACCGGAGGCCCTTCAAGCTGAATTCTTAATTCAAGAATATTTGAAGATTCAAAGAACGAAGATTCGAAGATTCAAAGAACAAAACTTTGAAGGTTTGAAGATACGAAGAACGAAGGTTCGAAGATTTGAAGATCTGACGAACGTTCGAATATTTGAAGAATTAAAGATTTAATTTTGAATTAATTTCTTTAATTATATTTATGTCAAATTGCAAGTGAAGAATCAGAGGATTCATATTTAGAGATTCTACCCAATATTATCACATATTATTATTTGCGATCAATTTTAAGTAAATACTTAAAATTTGTTTCACAAATTTTTGGCATGCCCGGTGGGACATCTCTACCTTTCATCTCTTCATTTTTGAAAACGAACCCATGGCATCAAGCAAGCCCGTGTTCACTCTGAATTCTCGAGCGTCATCAAACTCGAATCAAAACATGCAAGGCCCTATCACTAGGAGCCGATCAAGAATGATGTATGTGCAGTCATCTTCGGGAACTACTCCCGGTGCGATGGAGGGATTTCAAATTGCGCAAGAGGTGGCCCGGAAACTTTCTTCATCTATACATGAAGTTACTTCCCCGAAGTGGACAAACGGTGGTGAAAGCTCATCATCTAGTTCAGACTCTACTTCTCCATCAACTTCTCCACGAAGCACTACCCCACAGTGGTCAAATGTCTACACTGTGATGCCCACTATGACGACAAGCACCACATCTATGGAAGAACAAATTGCCCATCTAACTAAAGTCATCGAGGGGATGAGCATGTTCATGCAAGCTCAAGATCAGAAGTTGAATGATCTTAACAGCAAAGTGGAAAGC